AGTGAGTCTCCTGCCTCAGCCTCCCAAGTAGCTGGGACCACAGGCGCCCGCCACAACGCCCGGCTATTTTTTGGTTGCAGCTATCACTGTTTGGCGGGCCTGGGCTGGCTTCGAACCCACCACCTTAGGTGTATGTGGCTGGCGCCTTAGCCACTTGAGCCACAGGCGCCAAACCAAGTTTGGAACTTTCATTAAGTTTTTAACAGTCACTTCCAGATTATATTCTAATTTTGTCAGTTTGATGTAGGTTAATTTCTGACCTGCTGTATAACCAACAGATTTCATTAAATGAACCTTTCCTTTTCTCTTCAGAGCTTCCATTGTGAAATGTAGAATGTACTTTTAAAGAGTAAGTTGAAATATATCCTAAATCATTCCTTTATCCACATAGAAGTGTATATCATTCTAAAAACATTCAACATAGGCTCGGCACCTGTGGCTCAAGTGGCTAAGGTGCCAGCCACATACACCTCAGGTGGCGGGTTCGAAGCCAGCCTTACAGGCCTGCCAAACAACAATGACGGCTGCAACCAAAAAATAGCAGCGCATTGTGGCTGGCACCCATGGTCCCAGCTACTTGGTAGGCTGAGGCAGGAGACTTGCTTGAGCCCAGGAGTTGGAGGTTGCTGTGAGCTATGATGTCATGGCACTCTACCCAGGGGACAGCTTGAGGCCTGTCTCAAAAAAAAAAAAAACATTCAAGATATAGTTGAAACTGTTCTGTCCAATGGATGTCCTCTTGTACTCCCATGGTTTCAGATTGCTCACATTTCAGCAGTGACTGAAAGTGATAAAGAAAAGGAGAAGCCAGTAGTCTGTCCATGTGATTCATCTTCCCACTGGATGTGGCCAAGAGGCTATCTAGCACACACCTCCAAATTGTACTTGCCAGCTCAGCACCTGTAGCACAGTGTTTACGATGCCAGCCACTTACAGCGAGGGTGGAGGGTTCAAACTGGCCCAGGCTACCTGAACAACGAATGACAACTGCAACAACAAATAGCTGGGCATTGTGGCGGGCTCCTGTAGTCCCAGCTACTTGGGAGGCTGAGGCAAGAGAATCACTTGAGCCCAAGAGTTTGAGGTTGCTGTGAGCTGTGACACCATGGCACTCTACCAAGGGTGACATGGTGATACTGCCTCCAAAAACAGAAACAAATTGTATTTGCCTAACCTTAAGCAACCTTTCCACCTAACCACCTATCTTCTCTCCTATCCTCCTATCTTCCTCACCTAACCTCCTATCTTCTCTCTCCATTTACTAGCACCACCATCATCTCTGTCCTTCGGACTAGAAACCTCAGTCTTTTTAACTTTACTTCATCTCAAAATCATATCTCCCTCATTCCTGTTAATTCCCTGTCTTATAGTCATTCTTTTTACCCCTTTCTTTCCATTACCAAGTCTCTGTCCAACTACAGGTCTTTATTTTTCCCTCTGTTTACTTTTTTATAAAGGTATAATTCAGTGCTTTTTAGTAAATTAATAGTCGTGTGATCACCATAATCCAATTTTAGAAATATTTCCATATCCCAGAAAAGATCTCTCCTGTACCCCTACCCCTATGTGACCACAAATTTACTTTCTATCTCTATAGGTTTACCTTTTCTGGATATTTCATGTAAATGGGATCATATAATATGTGTTCTTTTGCATCTGGCTTTTTTCATTTGACGTGATGTTTTTGAGGTTGACTGAGTTTTTAGTCTATTGGAATAACCTCCTAACTGGAATCATTATTTTTCTTTTTTCATTCATTCCTTAGACCATGACATGCAAGCTAAAATTCAAATTCCTTAGAAAAGCAGACACTCTCCAAGTTCTGACTCTAGATTTACACTTTGTCTTCCATATAGCCTGTCTTCTGGCCACAGCAGGCAATTAAGTAGTGTCTCAATACTGTGTATTTTCTCACTTCTGAGCTTATGTTTATGCTAGTTCCTCCTTATGTACTTTTCTCTATCCTTGTTTGCTTTCCTTCACTTTTCTTATTCATGGATTAAGATTCATTTAAGCTTTCCTTTAAACCTTCCCAGATCTTTCAGATCCACTCCATTCCAATTAATTTACTTGTTTTATATATTTCCAAGATTTTACTTGCTAAGCACTTACAGTACTTAGTAATCAGTTGTGGAAATGAAAGCACCAAAGTATTTGTTCAGTAGATATTTAGTAAGCATTCCCTTTGTGCATAGGATCTAAGGGATAGTGGTGAATGAAACAAATATGCCCTCTGAGCCAGTAGAATAATAGGTGAAATATATTACAGGCTTGTTTTGTCAATTTTCCTCAGTTTCCTTAAAGAAAGGAGGTAAGCTGAAATTTACCATGTGTTAATGATTTAATAAATACTCTAATTAGAGTCTTTGAAAGAAATATGCCCTTTTTTTGGTATTAGTAATCCTGAGGATTGATCCTAATGTTGCTGACTATTCAAACTGATACTCCAACTGTAATATAGGTTATAGTTTGTGTACCAATTGCCTTGAAACTTGAACAGAGTATTTAATTAGTTTTCTGTAAGAGCATTTGGGACTATTAAATTTCAGTACTAATCGTTCTTGCTTAAGATATTTTTTGCTAGGCAAACATACTTCCGACCTTCTTTTTGATTCTATTCCAATCCGTCAAAGAATCAGAAATAAAAAAAAATATTAGGAACTATTACTCTCTGCCCAGGTTCCTGATTATCTGGGGGCTTATTAGGAATATTACTATCTTTTCACTTTGTTATAAATACAGGAAAACAGAATTTTGTTTTCTACTAACATGCAGGGCAGTCAGGGAGTATTTAATTCTTTTTCTTTCTCAAAAGGATTGTGAGGGCAGCACCTGTAGCTCAGTGGGTAGGGCGATGGCCACATACACCAAGGCTGGTGGTTCGAACCTGGCCTAGGCCAGCTAAAACAAAAGCAACTGCAAAATAGCAACAAAACAACAGCAACAAAAAAATAACCAGGCATTGTGGTGGCACTGTAGTCCCAGCTACTTGGGAGGCTGAGGCAAGAGAATCACTTAAGCCCAAGAATTAGAGGTTGCTGTGAGCTGTGACGCAATGGCACTCTACTGGGGGTGGCATAGTGAGACTCTGTCTCAAAAAAAAAAAAAGGGATGTGATACATGTGCTACTTAATACAAGATAAGCAGCTCTGTTTTGAAGATTTTTGTTTTTAAAGTTCTTAACTATTTCTGTGATACAATGTCTTCATGGCAGTGTGAGGTCTGAATAACATCTATATATGTTCTTTCTCTTGGTGTTTGTATGATGACAACTTTCAAACCTAGGAGCACTTTGTAATGAAAAGTAAATGAAATCTGTTGTCATGCTATCTATTTTAGGTTGTCAAAAAAGCAGACATGATCAACAAAAATATGACTCATCAGGTCCAAGCTGAGAGAGATGCACTGGCACTAAGCAAGAGCCCTTTCATTGTTCATTTGTATTATTCACTGCAGTCTGCAAGCAATGTCTACTTGGTGAGTAAATAATTTGACATTTTTCTTCATTTGTTTAGTGGTCACTGAATCCAGTAATTTAAGAACATAGTATCTAGATTCAGAGACCCTTGAATTTCACCTCTGGGAACTCACTAGCTTTATGACCTTGGCCAAGTTACCTATCATGTTAATAGTGTCCTCAAAAGAAAAAGAATCAATAGGATGTATGTGTATGGGGGGTGTATATGTACATATATAAAAAGAGGCAGAAAGAAGTTTTGTTTTGTTTTGTTTTTTGAGATAGTCTCACTTTTTTGCCCTTAGTAGAGTGCCATGTCATCATAGCTCACAGCAACCTCAAACTCTTGGGCTCAACCAAGAGCTTGATCTTCTTGCCTCAACCTTCCATGTAGCTGGGACTACAGGCACCTGCCATAACACCCAGCTATTTTTTTTCTATTTTTAGTAGAAACAGGGTCTCACTTTTGCACAGGCTGCTCTCAAACTCCTGAGCTCAGGCAATCCACCCACCTCAGCCTCCCTGAGTGCTAGGATTACAGGCATGAGCCACCGCACCAGGCAGAAAGAAAAATTTAAGGAATCAGGTCACACAATTATGCAAACTAGCAAATCTAAAATCCACAAGGAAGGTTTGGCAGACTAGAGACCCAGGGAAAGGTTGATGTTGCAGCTCTAGTCCAAAGGCAGTCTGGAGGCAGAATTCCCTCTTCTTCTGGGTACCTCAGTCTTTTTTCTCGTAAAGTTCTCAACCAATCAGTTGAAGGCCACTCACATTATGAAGGGTTATCTGCTTTACTCAAAATCTACTGATTTAGCCAGGGAAGGTGGCTCACACCTATAATCTTAGCACTTGTGAGGCTGAGGTGGGTGGATTGCCTGAGCTTATGGGTTCAAGATCAGCCTGAGCCAGAGTGAGACCTCATCTCTAAAAATAACTGGGTGCTGTGGCGGGTACCTGTAGTCCTAGCTACTGAGGAGGCTGAGGCAAAAAAAATCACTTAAGCCCAAGAGTTAGAGGTTGCTGTGAGCTGTGATTCCACAGCACTCTACCAAGGGTGACAAAGTAAAACTCTGTCTCAAAAAAAAAAAAAAAACTCTATATATACTGATTTAAATGTTAATCTCATCTAAAAAACACCATCAACAGGACATTTAAATTGGTATTTGACCAAATATCTGAGTACCACAGCTTTGTCAAGTTGACACATAAAATTAACTGTCACACCTCAGTTTCCTCATCTGTAAAATGCAGGTGATAATAGTAGCTACATGATAGGTTGTTATGAATTTTTTTTAATTATTAAATCATTGCTATGTACATTAATGCAGTCATGGGGTACAATGTGCTGGTTTTATATATAATTTGAAATATTTTCATCAAACTGGTTAACATAGCCTTCGTGGCATTTTCTTAGTTATTGTTTTAAGACATTTATATTCCACATTTAGTAAGTTTCACATGTACCCTTGTAAGATGCACCTTAGGTCCCACCAATTACCCTCCCTTCACCGATCTTCCCCCCTCCCCTCCTTATGAAATTTGAATAGGTTGGCTCGGCGCCTATAGCTCAACCGGCTAAGGCGCCAGCCACGTACACCTAAGGTGGCGAGTTCGAATCCCCAGCCCAGACCCGCCAAAACAACAATGACGGCTGCAACCAAAAAATAGCCGGGCGTTGTGGCGGGCGCCTGTGGTCCCAGCTACTTGGGAGGCAGAGGCAGGAGACTCGCTTGAGCCCAGGAGTTGGAGGCTGCTGTGAGCTGTAATGCCATGGCACTCTACCCAGGGGGACAGCTTGAGGCTCTGTCTCAAAAAAAAAAAAAAAAAAGAAAAAAAGAAATTTGAATAGGTTAATATTATATAAATAATGAAAACATAAAGAAAAACAATATCTGGCACATAATGCTAAAAATACTTGTTAAGTAAAGGATATTAAATAGAAATACTTTATGGGGAGTTTGGTGTGTTCCCACCTATTGGGCGTGATGTAAGTGTGTATGGCGCACCTCCTGGGTGTGGGGCACATCTACATTCTAATGAATGCAAACAGTGTAACCTACTTGTTTGTACCCTCATATTAATCTGAAGTTAAAAAAATAGAAATACTTTATTATACAGTTTGGTATAAATAAGAGAAGATACTAGTAAGTGATGGATTTGGGGTACATAGAACTGAAAAACTGCTCCAGATTAAAGACCAAAGAGACATAACAACAAAATGCTGTGCATAATCCTGGCTATAAAGCAGAGGTCCAACCAACCTTTTTGGCACCAAGGACCAGTTTCATAGAAGACACTTTTTCCATAGACAGCTGGGGCAGGGGAGGGAATCTAATAGGAGACAGAGCTCAGGTAGTGATGCCAGCAATATGGAACAGCTATAAATACAGATGAAGTTTCTTTCACTAGTCAGGTGGACTCACCTCCTGCTGTGCAACCCAGTCTGTAGTAGGCCATAGGCCAGTACCTATCTGCAGCCTAGGAGTTGGGGACTACAGTTATAAAGGACAATTTCAAAATGATCAGATACATTGAATATGGACTGCATATTAGGAAATAGCCATATATTGGTGTTAAGGTTACTGAATTTTATTGTACTGCAGTTACATAACAGTGTCTTGTTAGACATGCAAAGGAGAATTTCATGGAAACAGATCATGACGTTGTCAATTTTATTCTCGACTTAGCAAAAATGAAAAAATTACACATTAATACCAGATTTCCTAATACTTAATTTAAGTGGGCTAAGCAGGGTGGCTCACACCTGGAATCCTAGCATGGTGAGAGGCTTAGGTGGGAGAATCATTTGCACTCAGGAGTTGGAGACCAGCTTGAGCAAGAGCCAGACCCTGTCTTTACCAAAAATAGAAAAAGTTAGCCAAGCATCATACGCACACCTGTTATCCCAGCTACAAGGGAGGCTAAAGCAGGAGAGTTGCTTGAGCCCAGGAATTTGAGGTTGCAGTGAGCTATGATGACAACAGAGACTGTCTCCAAAACCAAACCAACAAACAAAAACAGCTACTTGGGAGGAGGAGGCAGGAGACTTGCTTGAGCCCAGGAGTTGGAGGTTGCTGTGAGCTGTGATGTCACAGCACTCTACCCAGAGGAATAGTTTGAGGCTCTGTCTCAAAAAAAAAAAACCAAATTAACCAGTTTGATTTGTAATTAAAAAGTATGACAACATGAGGAAACCTAGCATTAATACATAATGAATGACAGCAAGAAAAGGTGTGCTATTAGAAAATCATACCAAAAATATATAACTGTAGAGCTGGGCATGGTGGCTTTTGTCTATAATCCTAGCACTTTGAGCAGTTGAGGCACGTGGATTGCTTGGGCAATCCAGCCTGAGCTTAGAGATCCAGCCTGAGCAAGAGCAAGACTCTCTACTAAAAATAGAAAAACTAGACAGGTATAGTGGCTGGCACTTGTAGTCCCATCTACCTGGGAGTCTGAGGCCAGAGGATCTCTAGAGACCAAGAGTTTGAGGTTGCTGTGAGCTACCATGCCAAGACACTCTATCCAGGGCAATGGAATGAGATTCCATCTCAAGAAAAAAATATATATATACATGTATTTATATATATAATATATTGCAGGCAGGATGGGGACTGAAGACCCCATTCTTGGAAGGGAAAACACTCCAAGAAAAAGGGAAAAACAGAGAAACAAGCTGAGCAAGACAGAATAAAAACTGTTATTAACTCAGCAACTAAATTACTTATCTGAGCAGTTCCTCCTTTTACAAACACCCCTGCTAGGTCTGTAAACACTCTAAAGAAGACATTAACTAGGCAGTCCCCTGCCCAGTCAATAGTCAAAGCAAATACCTATTGTGGCGATTCGTATTATGTCCAGGGCAAAGATCAAGGGAACAGCTTGAGCCCTAAAATATGGGCAGGAGGGTTTGTACCCTAATAACAGAGGAAGACACCTCTGGGTTGGAGATAAGAGGCAAATTCTTCTTTCCCACCAATTCTTCAGAGGAGATTAACACTGTTGGAGTATCTGCTCCACAGTGAACTAGTAGGAATTAACCACCACCACCCGCCCCCAAGGAATCTGTGTATGTGACCATAGACAGGAGGGTGCCCCCACACAAGGCTCAGGTTTTGGATTTCTCCAGGCTGTTCAGACCCTTAAGGTTAATGATTATAGATAGAATAAAAACTACTGTGCTTACTCAGAGAAAGGGCTGAGTTTTTGTTCCCTTCCTCAGCTTACCCTCTGGGCTAAACGAGCAAATAGGCTTCAGTAAAAGCTGAGTGGAACAAACACTCAGGGCCATTCACAGGAGCCCCACAAGCTAGCGATGGCCCCCCGTGTTTCCCACCTTTGAAAACTCTTACTCTGCACGTCCTGTCTCTTTATCTCTCGCTGCTTCTAACTTTACTTTTCTTCAGCTATCGATCGCCACCCAGTTTTATAGATTTTAAAGGACTCTGCCCCAGGTCAGGACCTGAGCAATATCTATTTATAAGAACAAACATACAGGGTGTCCATAAAGTTTGTATGCAATATTCTGAAGCCCAAATACTGTATTTTTAAAGCAATCATACTGTTTTTATTTTACAATATTAAATTTCTTTTTGATAGGTAATGGAGTATCTTATTGGTGGTGATGTCAAATCTCTCCTTCATATATATGGTTATTTTGATGAAGAAATGGCCGTGAAATATGTTTCTGAAGTAGCATTGGCTCTGGACTACCTTCATCGACATGGAATTATCCACAGGTAAAGACTGACTTTTTTTCTAAACTGTTATTTAAAAATACAAGTAATCAAATTATGTCTTTTCTTTTTTTTTTTTTTTAAGACAGAGCCTCAAGCTATCCCCCTGGGTAGAGTGCCGTGGCATTACAGCTCACAGCAACCTCCAACTCCTGGGCTCAAGCAAGTCTCCTGCCTCCGCCTCCCAAGTAGCTGGGACCACAGGCGCCTGCCACAACGCCTGGCTATTTTTTGGTTGCAGCCGTCATTGTTGTTTGGCGGGTCAGGCTGGGGATTCGAACCCGCCACCTTAGGTGTACGTGGCTGGCGCCTTAGCCGGTTGAGCCATAGGCGCCGAGCCAAATTATGTCTTAAGTATTTAAGTCTCAAATACAGTATTTGCAGTAGCCACTTACTCATTATTTCCAAGCTATCTGAAGTTTAGTAGTATCTTGTATGAGTTTGGAAATTGCTTTAACTTTTCTATTGTCTTCCGGTGTTTTTTATTTTTTAATATTTTTGAGACAGAGTGGCACCCTGGGTAGAGTGCCATGGTGTCATAGGTCACAGAAACTTCCAAGTTGGACTCAAGTGATTCTCTTGCTTCAGCTTTTCTATTTTTAGTAGAGATGGGGTCTTGCTTTTGCTCAGGCTGGTCTTGAACTTGTGACCTCAAGCAATCCACATGCCTCAGTCTCCCAGATTGCTAGGATTCCTGTGTTTTTTAACTATGTTGCTTTGAATATGATTGTAGCATGTTAATGTGAAGACTGTTGATTCCTTTTCGTCTCCTTTAACAATCATGAAAATATCCTATTTTTTGTAGTCATAGCTGATTTATGATGTTTTTCTCTGTGCCAAGAAAGTCAAGTGAAGTGACTCTGCTCTATTAAAGCTTAATCTTACCTTTCTTAGGGGTAAATGTGATTTTGAACAAGATTGAGGTTGATTTTATCTAGTGAGATTTAGTTATTTTAACAGACTAGCTGACAAATAATGCCAAAGATAATCTTGTCTTAAATCATTTAACTTTTTGTACATTCAGATCTACAGTACAAAAGATATTTTGCTTTTGAGAATTTTTTTCTGCACTTTTCGAAAACACTAATGAGTGCCTTTATTTCAGAGGAAAATAATAGAGTGACTCTTCTGTTACTCTTTTTTTCTGGAAACTACCATCAAAACTAGCCCTTTTATACTTATCTAGTATTTGCCTTTCATATGTCCAGGGACTTGAAACCAGACAACATGCTCATTTCCAATGAGGGTCATATTAAACTGACAGATTTTGGCCTTTCCAAAGTTACTTTGAATAGAGGTAAGAAAAATAGCAGGTAAGTGCCTTTTCAAAAGTCCAACAAATTTTAGAAACTACATTTTATTAACGTACATTGGTTTTTTTGTAAGTTTCCACTAAATAAATTTTTGTGTTTATTTATTCCAAAATAGGCTAGAGATATGTATATAATGGTAACATTTTCCATTAAAGATGAAAAATGTAAGTGATTATTCTTTTTTTTTTCTTTTTTTGAGATAGAATTTTACTTTATCATCCTTAGTAAAGTGCTGTGGCGACACAGCTCACAGCAACCTCCAACTCCTGGGCTTAGGTGATTCTCTTGCCTCAGCCTCCCAAGTAGCTGGTACTATAGGCACCTGCCACAATGCCTGGCTATTTTTTGTGGCAGTTTGGCCAGGGCCAGGTTTGAACCTGCCACCCTTGGTATATGGGGCCGGCGCCCTACCCACTGAGACACAGGTGCCGCCAGAGTGATTATTCTTGAATGGTCAGAGGTCTTTGAAGATTTGGGATCTTCCAAAAGGAACTTATAATTTCTGTTCTTCTGACTTTTATCCCTACTGAAATTGATTCTTACCAGTTAAACATTAGTAAAATGAATAATATAACTATAACATGATGAAGTGGCTTAACAGCTGAGACCTTAGCTAACCATGGCCAACAGTAAACCTTAACAAAGGGACAAAGAAAGGGAACACATAATTCACACATACATATATTTGGGAATATGTTCATTTCACTAGTAGTAATTAAAGAAATGCTAATATAGAAAAGAATGCGCTGGGTAAGGTGGCTGATGAGTGTAATCCTAAAATAATTTCAAATAAGTTATTGGAAAATATCATAAGTCAGGGAAATTTTGTGTTATGATAATATTGATGATTTTAAGTCATTTTTATATCATAGGGTCTTTTTTTTAAGTTTTATTTATAAAATAGTTTTTTTTTTTTTT